CTGGAAAATTCCAAGAGCTGTGGAGCAGTGCCATGTCTCTCCTCAGCAATATGATATCCTATAAATCCACCTCATGGGGATTTGCAGGAGGTTTAAACCCTCCCCTTCCCCCAGTGTCACCAGGGCAGTGACACCTTCGTGGTATTTCAGTGACATTCAGCTCCTATCAATAATTCAGCTGCTCTAATTGCAGCATCTCAAACACATGATGTGCACAAGGTGTCAGCAAAGTCAGCCTTCCCCCTGATTAACACTTCTAATTGGCTGCTGCACTGGGATTTTGTTTCCATGTTAGCTGAGAAGGTCAGAAGGGGAGCTCGAAGGGAGCAGAGAAATAACACAGAATCAGTTTTTGTGTTCCAGCAGAAGACAGGAAATGAAAAGCTGAATTTTCTATCCATAACTATTATTATTATTATTATTATTATTATTATTATTATTATTATTATTATTATTATTATTGCTATTATTATTGCTATTATTATTGCTATTATTATTGCTATTATTATTGCTATTATTGTTACTACTACTACTACTACTACTACTACTAATATCCTACCTGTCTGGGCTCTGTGTGGCCATTCCTGAAGAATCCAGCTGAACAGTACTTTGGGAAAACTCCCACTGCTTTGCTCCACAAAGGGCTGGGATGGGGAAAGCTGCCTGCAAAGCCAACACCTACAGACCTGCCCACTGCAAACCAGGAAAGAACAGGGGGTGCAGTGCCTGCACTTGCAGGAACTGTCCCATTTCCACATGCAAAGTGCTCTAAGGGGGAATAGAAAATCTGTCAAAGGTGATTTGTGATGCCAGTTGTTATGTTCCACGGGAGATAGATGTGCTGGCATCACAACTTTGCTGGCTCTGCAGAGGAACAGTGAATTTCCTCTGCTGGACTGGGTTTGATGGAAATACAGACGACCTGTGAGTCACTCAAACGTGGCACTGGTCCCCTCAGCTCCTCTGGAGCTGGAGGAGAAGCTGCAGTCCCAGGAATTCAGCCCTGCCTAGGGTAGGTGGGGGCTGTGAACACTCTACACACTCCACAGCTGATGTGGGAATCCCCTGTGGAAGGATACACACGTGTTCCAGGCACCAAGGGGGAATGGGAAATCCCTCCTGTAGATCTGCAGCAAACTGTGGCTCTCTGCTTGTTCCCAGTTGTGGGAATTTGGGAATTTGGGCACCAACCTTACGAAATATGAGTCCTGTAAAATGGTTCTCTGTGCCTTAGAAGCAGCTGAGCATCCCCAGGCTCCCACAAAGCACATCCAGCTCGAGCAGTCTGTGTGTGCTGCAGCAAGGAGGGACATCAGCCTTTGAGGTTTGTCAGCCACAAAGCAAAAACAAACTGCACGTTATTAATGGCCTCCTTTGCACTTTTCTTTTGGAAAAGCTTTTTCAGTTTCTTCCTCTGTTCTAACACAGTGACACTGCTAGCACTCTCTGCTTGTGTCCCAAAGGGAAAAACATACTGAATATATATTTAATGTGGGATTCTTGGAGCTCCCAAATCAACAGCAATGAGGAGCACAGAAGATGAAGCCACTGATGATTCCAGGGCTGTGGAAGCCATTCCTTGACCTCACAGCCTAACAGACAGATGGAATTGTTTCCACAAGGCCCTGGATGTTGCCCTGAGGCAGAGGGGCTCTCCCAGCTCCTCCAGGCAGCTGCCTGGAGCCGAGTTCTGCTCCAAACTCTTGTTCCTCTGATCCTGCCCTTGGGGAGGTGGCACAGCTCACTGGGAACAAGTGAAACAAAGGAGCAATGACATACTGGCAACCTTTTTTTGCCTTTCCAACTCCCCAGGGTTCTTAATTAATCCACATTTTGTAACCACAATTAATTCTTTGCTGCAAGTCTTGGGAATACAGTGGGAAAAGCCACAATTTAATGTGCTTGGAGAAAAAAAGCCTGACTCACAGAAGTGGCAAATCAATTGGATTTTACAAAATTCAGACTTTCCATCTGCTCGTGGTATTGATGTACCTGACTGCCTTGAAGCTGTCTTCCCTCATAATGGGAATTTTGGTCCCTTTTCTGAGAGCTGACAGGAGGTTGGATCCAGGTGGGGGGTTGGTCTCTTCCCCCAGTTGACAAGTGAGAGGACAAGAGGAAACAGCCTCAGTCTGTGCCAGAGGACATTTAGATTGGATATTAGGGGAAATTTCTCCATGGAAAGGGCTGTTCAGCCCTGGCACAGGGCAAGGATGGCATTCCCTTCCCTGGAGGGATTTAAAAGCTGTGTGGATGTAGCACTTGGGGACCTGGGTTAGTGGTGGCCTTGGCAGTGCTGGGGGAACAACTGGCCTCAAGGGTCTCTTGAGAGCTTTTCCCCCCTCACCAATTCCACAATTCTAAGATCCATCCCTGCTCTCCCCTGGACTTCCAACCATGCATCCTCACTGCCTCTAAACCTGCAAGTTCATCCCTAACTGCTGCTGCTGCTGTGAAACTGCCCATTCCTGACTTGTTGCTGACTCCTGAGCCTCCCTGAAGGTGCTCCTTGAGCAGTTCTGCAATATTCAAATATTAATTCAGATTGCACTGAACAAACTCCTCTGGGAACAAACAGCAATCAGGATAATCCCCTGCAGCTCCACAACTTCCTTGGTCTCTAACAGGTGCTGTCAAATAAATCCATAGCATAAATCAGCCCCTTTGTAACCATGAGGAAGGATTTTATAACTGCATTTGCTGAGTGGGAGGATATTTTTCTCTCTGCTTTTTTACTGACAGTCAGATAAAATCACACTAATCAAGAGAGACATGAGATGGAGGCCTTGGAGGTAAATTGCTGTTTATACTGAGGGCTCCTAATCCTCCACTCTTTTGAGAATTCTGGTGCTACAGCAAAGAGAACCAAGCTGGTTGGATACAGACCAGTTTTCATTATGGATGGACCAGGAGATGCCAAAAACAATGATGGTGCTTCATAATATTTTCATGCTGAGCCTTTTGCATCAGCTATACTTTATTGTTCTATCACAGCTTGTCCTTCTCCTGGCAGGACACTCACAGGGACCTCCAACAAGGGCAACTGCAGGGGTGGAGCTGGTCTCCATAAAGAAAATACCTGTATCACTATATATCTCTGAATATCACTTTGTATTTTTTTGTTATGCTACTGCACTGTACTTGCAGCAAAATCCATCTTTGCTTTCTTGCCACTTTAAAAAATATTGCCCCTGGATATTTCCTTCCCCATTCCTGTTCTTTTTATTTCTAAATTGTTCACCAGAATGCACTGTATTTCTTCCCATGGTCTGGAAAATGGATCAAGGCAATGACACCTACTTAACATATATTTTTCCTCCCCAAAGCTTTGCAGTGAGATGAAGGAAGTGTCAATTCCTTCTGAAGGAGAGCAGCACTGGGACTGACTGCTGGCAGCAGGCAGCCAGGATGCAGACACATGGCCCTGGGAGATGAGCAGAGAGCAGCTCTGCAAACCTTATTCATTCAGTGAAATGTAAATCTGCTCCTCTGAGGGAAGTGGAGAAGCTGCTGTGATCCAGGCAGGATAAAGTGTGCAGGGCTCCAGGGGTTTTCAGCTTCAGGAGGCAGAGGGTCATGAGAAGGAGGGTCTCTGAAGAGAACTCAGAAAGAGAGGGGTGACATGGACTGACTGACAGGAAATGCAACCCCATGCCACCACTTGGCATCTTGGGCCATTTTCATGCCAGCAACAGATGCCAGAGAGCAAATGAGTACTGGCAGCTGTGGGATGGTGAGAAAATGGATGTGGGAGTGTGGAAATGCTGACAACCCAGAGAGATGCAAAGATGCATGGGCCATGTTTAAAAGCCTCCACTAAACCCCCTCCTCCTGGGAAGCCCCTGTTTTGTTCTTCCAAGGCTCTGTTCTCTCTGCTCAGCACCAAGCCCTGCTTGTGCTGCCAAGGGCTGTGCAGAGCTCAGTTATCATGAATGAAATGAGTTGAGAACAGTTGGGTATTTATAGGCTTAGCAAGCTGGTGCTCCAAAAAATCTAAAAGCTCTTCAAAGTGCCTTTAGCTCCAGAGCAGCACTGATGGTCCCTGCCAGCTTGTGGGGACACTTGGGAAGAAGAGCTGACCATGGAAATATCCTGAGCTTTGTGTTGGGCATCTTCCAGTTTGCAGAGAGTAAACAATAAATTAAAACATTAAGATGGAAAAAACACAATGGCATGCCCAAGATTTCTGTGGATATGGATACACAAGATAAGCTCTGCCTGGTTTTCTGTGGAAGAGCCAACAACATGGTGATGAGTGTAAGATAATTGAGTTGAATATTGCTTAGATATATTGCCAGATGTTCTAACAGTGGCTTATCACTAATGACACCAGACAGCTTTGAGGAAGTTAAATGTTTCCCAGATATACCAGTGAATCTCTCCCTGTTTCCTGGAGACACACTCTGAAAAGGCAGCAGGACCTGGCAAACCAACAGTTGTTATCACAGAGCTTCTGTAATTCCAAAGCAGTTCCAGCTCCTGCAGCCCTGGGGACCAAGGTACAAGGGCCAGGAGCCTGGCCCTGCCTGAACCTGAGCACTGTGGAGGCTCCACCAAGATAAGATAGTGGGTAGCACCTGCCATGTGCGTGTTTGAGATCCACGTTTTCCAGGTGCTGATCCCACCTCCCCAGGATCCACTCTCACAGGGCTTGGGACTCAGCTCTTTCCAACCCAGACCATTCCATGATTCTCTGACAGCAAGGCCCTTCTTGAGGGCTGACAGAATTTTCTATCTCCACTATGAGATATGTCAGAACCAAAAAAACCCAAACATATCCAACAGGAGAGGCAGAGTCTCATTGTTTTGCTCAGTGTTGAGCACTAGCTGGGCCAACAAAATCCAGAGGGAAGTGTGGATAAGTGTTCTCTCAAAGTCAGGAAAGAGGGACAATGTACCTAGAGGGGCTCTCTTCAGTCCCCAGCTTCCCCAGTGCAGTGTGGGGTTACAGTGCTGCAGGCAAAGAATGATGGAGAAAAAATGAGAATATGAGAACTTACCACAGAGGAAAGGTCCATGTTCACCATCCTCCTGTCATCCAGGTCGACTGGCTGGAGGCCTGCAACGTTGAGCTGGACAGAGGAGGTTCTGTAAACAAAGCTCAGCAGCCAGTCCCCCCTGGAAGCAGAGAAGAGTGGGAATAATCTTGTTGCCCAATCAATGCCATGTGGAATCAAAGAATTCCAGAACAGTTTGAGTTGGAAGGGAGCTTAAAGCTTATCCTGTTCCACCCCCCACCATGGGCAGGGGCTCCTTCCAGTAGATCAGGTTGCTCCAAGCCCTGTCCACCCTGACCTGGAACACTTCCAGTGTGTTACCACTTAGACCATGAGAGTGGAAGTGCTGGGAAGCACAGTGATGTCTGAACCAAGAGCTGCTGCAGGTCTGTGTGATGTAGCAACCCCACCAGGAATGACTTGCTGGATTCAGGGCAGGTTCCTGGGACACAGGGGTGTAAGTCTGAACTGAATTCTGATCCATGGCTGTCGTGTCTTTACTGAAGTGAGTTTAAAAATCTGACCCTTCTGTTTATTTCTATGTTTGCTCAGGGTTTGCACATTGACATATTTGATGCTTTTAACGTACTGGTATGTTCTGCAGGCCATAAAGCTGCAAAAGTGATGAGACCTACAACACTGATGCTGTGACATAAATACTGACTGTGAAGCTCCTGGGAGTGCTCCTGATTTATAGGTGCTGTAGAAATACATGGCTTCAGTGACAGAACTAGGAAGGGTTTGTTCCCACTCTAAAGCAGTGCCATAAGTCACTGTGACAGTTTCAGGGTAGACTGTAGCATGAAGAGAGAAGGAAATACAATTCTGAGCTGAGCAACAGCATAAAATCTGGGTACCAAAATGCCACTGTACTCTACAGAGCAGATTTAAGTGGTACATGAGTGAGATTTATGCTTTGTGATGGCAGCAGGTGAAATGCTCCTGGCAAAGGTGCCCATTCCTGGCTACTCCCAAATAATCCACACTAGGAGTTGTAAGTCTATGCAGAGCCCTGCAAAACCTTTACAACACATTCACACTGCTCAGGTGTTGGTTCTTTCAAAAGCTGAGCCAATCCAACTGATTTGGGTGAGGTTTCCCACTGGGAATTTGCAGCCCTGCTGTTTAAGTGGGAGGGAACAGCTCCAAGAGCTGACAGGGCTCTCACTCGCCCTGTCCCCTCATATTCCAAAGCCAAAGGAGAACAAGAACTGAAGCTCAACAGTTGGGCTCAAATCTGATCTCACAGGAATTCTATTCAGTGTAATTCATCCAACCTAAACAGAGTTACTCCTGAAGTGACAGAATGAGGCCACCCTTTGTGCAAGCAAGAGACCAGAAAAATCAGAATCAGGTGAGGCCTTACCACAAAATGTTTGTATAATCTTTCTCTCTACCTCAATCCTCACAGAAATTCCCTAAATCTCTCAATTCCCTCCTCTAGCTGCCCCTCAGGTTGCCTGAATAACCCTCTGGACACATACACACTGTATTTTATTCCAACAGCACAATCAGGATTAGAAACTGTAACAAATCTTTTTTGTGTCTCTGTGTGTGTTATAGGAAATGGATACAATAAGCAGTGATACAGTGAAATTTCTTTTTGTAGAACACAGACAGGAACAATATTTTCTGGATAAACTCAGTTATATGCAATGATTTCTATGATTTATGGCTTCTTGGAGGAACTCAGAGCACTCCCAGGGAGGCAGCTTTTCCTAATGGTACAGGAAGAAACACTGCAAGTGGTGTTTACATCTGGCATCCCTGAAAATCCTGGGATCCAAAGAGGACAAAAGCAACAATTCCCAGTCTAGCTGAGAGATAGGATTGATAATTTGTTGTTTTAACCTTGAATACTTCTAATTAATTTATTTAATTATTCTTTCTAAGTTCAAACATTCTGTTAGAATCATAGTAACACAGCACTTCCCCACCTTCTATGTACATGTGTAGGCATCCATATGGATGCATGCATGGGAAACACCAGCAGCATTTTCACCTGTCCTTGACCCGAGGGCTCACAGCTTTATAAACTGTCTTGACTTGAAGATTCTTTGCTAATTTTCTTGCCTGGTTATTTCTCAATTTATTTCCCCATGTTCTTAGTCTTCCCCGCTTATTCCTTGGTTTTAATTTCCCCTTATCTAATTGTGCTGGTAAGCAGTGTTCCTGCCACAATTATCTTCCAAGACACAGTCATTAGGTTTGAAGCTGTCACTTGACTACTTAATAGCTTTTCTGAGATTGCTTCAGCTGTTTCAGACCTCTGAACTCCCTCTTCTCACCCAGCAGCTCCCATAACTCTGCAAACAGTTGTCTGCTTTTATTTCTAGAATGTTTTTCAATGTGGTTTTAAAGGGCTGGTATTTGTTTTGAAGGCAATCTTTGTATTCTTTCATATCCTTACCAAATTTGCTACAGCTATTCCAGTTATTCTTCCTTTGCAAGTTAAATATCTTGTTCATGGGGACTATCTTGACCAGAAACCCACTCCAGATATAAAACCCTTCAATTTGCTTGAGCTCCTTCCCTTCCATTGTGATTTTCACATATTTTTCCCCATAAGCAGCCACAAGTGAACTGCATCTTAAAGCTTTTACAGATTCTAATTCCCAATCTTTAAGTCAGCAAACTTAACTGCTGTATTTATAGTCCTTGACACAAAGCTGAGATTTAAAGGGCCTTCAGAATATATCAGATTACACACACAAACCCAGCCACTTTAGGCTGTGAGTGGTAGAACACCGTCCCTCTATGAATACAAGTTTCCAGTGGCACAAAGAGCCAAGAGCTGCATCAAACAGCCTCCAGGTGCCTCCTGAAGCTGCCATCTCAAATGGATCTGAGGCAGAGGCCTGGAGGGAGCAGGCTCTGGCACTGCTCAATCAATGTCCTCACCAGCACTCACAAAGTGCTTGAAAGGGATAAATGCCCCAAACCATTTCCAGGCTAACAAGGCTGGGCACTGAGCTCACACTGACCTGCAGAAGCCATTTATGATCCTGCCTGACACCACTCTGGTGAGAGCTCTCCAGTGCTTGGCCTCTCCTTCCACTGGAGCTCCCAGTAAGACAACATCTTCAATGATCCCTTGTGAGTCTGTCAAGGTGAAAGCACAACAGTTCAGATTTAGAAGATGGAACAGAAAATATTCTTATGGGAAGTGTGTTCAGATGTGCACAAAAATCATAGTTTAGGTGAAAATCAATTTGATTGAAAGATAGAAACAATGGAAAGGAGGATCATAAATAAAACTTTGCATACATCTTAAGTGTCCACAATTCACCTGGAGTTAGTAAATGTGAACAACTGAGATCCTCAGACAGTGCAAAGGACCAAGCACTGGAAAAGAGAAGTGGCCTGGCCTCAGCCCAGAAAGGTGTGTTCAAGCAGCCAGCCTCTGGAAAGGTCTGGAAACCCCTGGAAAGGTCTTTCTGCAGACTCGCTGATGTGGGTTTGCACAGAGCTTTGAAACAGGTGAAGGGGTCTGAGATCCCACAGTGTGAGCAAATGTTGTCCTACGTGAAGCATGAGGAGCTCTTGCCACAGCTGATTCTATGAAAAACATGACCTGAACATGCAAGGGGAAATCCCAAATTGTTAATATTGATTTGGAAGTAGCAACAATAGAGGCACTTGCCAATACCCAGTGAAGATCCACCAAACTGCTTTGATTTCCTTCTGCTGTAACCTGAATGCCCAGGGCCTGATTTGCTGAACAGCATTGTTAACTTTTAAGCATAATAAATCTTCCTGACTTACCAGAGAGCTGCAGCTGGGCAATTTCAGGAGGAATAATGATGGAATGAGAGATATTGGGCAGCCCTGCAACTTTCCTAAACTCCTGAACAATATATCAGTATCTTCCATAAATCTTTGTAAAGAGAGATGAATCCTCTGATGCCACAGCAGTTAAATGGAAGACTCATGAGCAGAACATTCCAAATCCATACTCGGCACCTGTGGGAGATCAGGCTAAACCCAACATTTGAGGGAGAGGTTCTGCCTGGGCACTTTTCAAATGCAAATCACTTAGCTTCCTTTCCTTGATAGCAGTAAAGGATTGGAGCTGCCTGCAGAGCCTGCATCCTTCTCTGCTGTGTAAATCCCGTGCCTGACAAATTCAAATGAGCTCTCCTGGAATTATTTCTTATTGCAGAGCAATTTTTGCACCAATCAAAAAGAGCAAAGAGCAATTCAATTTTGTGAGTGTAATCTGTGAGCAATAAAGCCCTGTACCCATAATTATGGGCAATGAAAAGGAAGCACAGAGTCTTGCAGGAAGCTTGTCCCAACCAAGGTTCTAAATTCCATGTCCGTGGTGTGAGCCAAGTGAATAAACAAGCAGCTAATTCATCAGGATCCTGAATGTTTGGGCAAGGTGTTGGAAGCTTTTGTTTCTCCAGTCCTTTGTCCAGTTTATTTCTTGCTTAGAACAACAAAAAAAAAAGTTTAGCCTTGGCTGAAAAATGTTCATTTTCTTTGAAATGTTGACAGGATAGAAACCTGGGAACAGATCACTGGCCTGCAGAGCAGCTGAGGTTCGAGATAAATGAAATCTATTTCACAGTTTGTAAATCTTTTAGATTATGAAGAACAATAAAGTCTGTAAAAGCAGTGAAAAAAAAATTACTTAACCATTTACCCTCAGAGAGAGTGGCTAATGAATAAGGGGTTTTATAAAGGAAAATTTCCAATCAAGTCCAAGCAGGTGAGAACAGAGTAAGAATAAGAGGCCAAAATTCAAACCTGATTAAGATGATTTCTCCAGAAAAGGTGTGGAAGAAAGAAGCTGTCCCAGAAACCATAACCAATTCTGGGATCTGGGCTTTGCTGTGCCCTAGGGATGCAACTCACTGGGAAAGGGAAAGCACCTCAGCACATCAGTCCTGACTGGAGGGAGAACAGCACTGGAATTCAGCTCTGGCTTTGTACAGATGTTCCAGGGCAGAGCTGGCTGCAATATTCCCAACATTGAGCACAGCAGGGATCACAGCCCAGTGGGATACTGGTCACATGAGCAGTGATCAGTACAAACACACAGTGTGTGACACCTCACCCCTGTCACACACAGCTGGGTTTCAAGGTTTGGTCTCTGGTGGTAACAGCTATTATCAATTTGCATTAGTTTGCTAATTGCTAAGTATTTACTAAAAGGCATGGGAATCACGACGAAGAAATCAGAGCAATGATCCTCCCACTCAGTAACGTGTCTCTGATGGCTCATTGACTCCAGCTCCTGCCATGATGGCATTTTCTGGAAACCTGCTGAGTTCTGGCTCCCGAAGTGATCCGTGATGAAGTATCCCAAGGTTGTTCCACTGCTTTGCAGAGAAGCATTTGAACAGAATCTGCCATGGTGTTTCACTGGCCAATCCATCATTAGCTCTTTGTCCTCAGAAATGCCAGTGCCATCTGGATGCAGAGCCCTGCATGACGAGGCCGTATGTTCCTTCCTTTCGTGTGAGACATCCACGTCCAAACCCAAATCAGTCTCAGCTGTCCCAGGTCCCAGCTCTGCCCCTTCTGTGGCTTGCTCTGGAATGTGCCTGTGAGAACGCCTTGGCAATCTGTGCTAAACATGCTGCTTTTCATCTCACAAACAGCTCAGCTTTCAGAATTCAATTAAAGAACTGAAAAATCAGTGTACAGTGGGAGCTGCTCTGATACATCACCACAGTACTTGGATTTCCTTGCAGTGGCAGCCAACCTTCCAGACCCCTAAGGATTTCCTCCCTAAGCTATGGGATCGTGTCATTCCAGAGCCTGCAGACTGAAATAAAAACCTGGAAATACCTCAGCCCTTGGCATTCTCAGGACACAAAATGTGTAGATCTAGGGCCAGATTAGGATCTGGGTTCTGGCTCCAGTGTAACTCCATAAGGATTATTCTGGATTTGATTATATTTATTTTGAGAACAGAATTCCTGTATTTCAAGACTTTTATCTTAAATCAGAAGTGAAGTTCTGGCACACAGCTGTCAATCCTGACCTTCTCCATCCTCACTTGACTCTGTTCCCACCTTCTTGGACTTTACTGGACATTTTCCTTTATAAAATTCCCTAGTTATGATTTACTGTGAAGTAAGTGGTTAATGAGTTCAATTGCTACGTGGGGGGAAGGCAGGCTGCACGCACTCACTGCTGACTCAACTCCAAGATACAATTTTCATCAACTGATCATAATGATTTTACACTTTTCTTTTTTTACTAAATTAAAAATAGAAATCTATTAATAAACAGAACCACAATGGGTAATAAATTGGCAGATGGTTTTATACTTGACTTTGGGGGAAAATTACCATGAAAATAGCAGATGACAGTGGCATTTCAGAGACTTAAATGGAAGGCAGGACTCAGGGAATCAGATACAAGAGCTGCAGAGAGCTCCCAAGAAAGGCAAAGCATCCTCTGCTGGGATCAGGCAGTGCACAGGCAGCTCCAGACTGATCACAAATGTCACGTTGTTGTTCACAGACCAAAATGAGCCACTGAAACCCCTCAAGTGAAGACAGCAGATTTTTTCTGCTGGACTGGGGGAAATGACAGAAGAATTTGGCTCCAAAGGCATTTAAACCTTGGGGTTTTTAAAATTTTATTCCCATCCTAAAAGAGCCAAGCTGTATTATTCCTCTTGGAAGAAAAATTTCTCCACCAGGAGTAAGGAAAATAAAAGAAAAAATGGTTAGAAGGTGAATGTTACCTTTTTCCTGAGCCATTTCCTGCAGGCAGAAGTAAATGACTCTGGCACCCAGGCTGAAGCCAATCAGAGTGACAGGTCTCTGGCCCTGAGAAAGAAGGAGAGGAAAAAATTGCCACCAAATGGTGTTTTCTCTGGAAAGAGATCAGGCTGGGGATCCCTGAGAGCCTGAGACACAGAGCACCTGCTTGTGAAATAGTGGAGCAATTTGGTCGGTTTCAAAGGCATCAGGTCTCCTCAAAGTTATGCCCAGTTCAATATGAAGAATGCTACATATTTGTATTTTGTATGTTTTGATTTTCAGAAAATCAACTGAAAACAATCTAGAGATCAGAAGTTACAACAAAGGGGATGTTTCAAACAGAACCAAAACAGATGCTGTTGTTGGTTTGAAATTTCCAAAAACCTTATTCAAGGAACAAAATTTTCCTAGAAATGTTTCCATACACAGAAGAAGAAGCTGTAGTACAAAAATACTGACCACTTCCAGATTTCAGGCTGAGTGACAGCAGCAGCATGCGACGGTTATAAAAGATGATTTGGCTTTTAAGCTTTAAGCTTTTTTTTTGAACAGCCTAATAAGATTTTCTGTAAGATTAAAGGGAGCCTAATCCCAACATCAATGAAAAATGGTCTTTGTAATATCCAGGGAGCAGGTGTGCAATGGGCACCCCAGACATCTCATTAACTAGTTTTAGACTCTCCAGCATACTGGAATGTGTGTTTTCACAACAGCAAATGCTTAACAAGCAAGAACCAATGCCCCATAGCAAAAGAAAGGGCTTGTATGAAATAAAGTTTATTGAATTTTCTAGGATTGGGTTTTTATGAGAAATCAAGTTTGTTCCTCCTCTGCTGTTCCACCTTGCTGGGACACATGCTCTGGGGCCACAGCTCCCCTTGGGCTCCTCTATGATCAGCAGTGACTGGTGTGAGACAAACACGTGGCCAGCAAACACCAGCTCTGGCCCAGTAAATGATGGCAGGCTCTGGGGGGCAGAAATGTCTTTTATTGAGCCTTTTCAGAGAAACTTCTGTTACTTCTGTCAGGTACCAGCCCGTTCCCCTTCCCTGCAGGCAAAGCCACAGAGCCACTGGGCATTGGCTGCCACCCACTTTTCTCTCAGGTTGTTTTCCAGGTGCCTCTTAATGATCCATAAATATTTTTAACACTTTGTATTCTCCCTTCCTTTTCACCCATCCTCACCTCCTGCTCTCTGACTTCCACTTGGTCAGTGGGCCTGGCTGTGTTGTGACATGGTTAAGCCAAGGCTCATTTATGACCCAGATCTCTTCTTCCTCATTGAAAAAAACTTTAGCTTAAATGGAACAAATCTCAGCAGGATTTCTCTGATCCACTTGGGACCTCCTCCTTTTCCCCATTAAGCCAGATATCTGCTGGTCACCTTCACGCAGCACTCTCTGTGTTTTTGTTTTATTAATTTTTGTACCCTTAGAAAGATACCATTTAACCAGCATGACTATAAAACTTCACCTCCCCAGTCCCTTCCAGCTGTTACTCCTGGATAACTGTAGCCAGTTACCTGCTGTCTGCTGAGCAGGATGTGTGCAAGGTGCTTGCCCACTTCAGCAGAGCGATGCAGACACACTCCCCAGGGGTTGTCAATGACACTGGCAACAGTCAGGAGTGATGCTGGCCAAGTCAAGGCTGTCACAATCCCTGCAACACACACAGAGGTTCCTTAGAAAACATCAAAAGCAAGAGAGTTCACTGAAATTAAAGGCTAAGCCTAGGAGCTTATGTCATTTCCAGCTCTTCTTTCCTAACAGCTTTGTTGAGAAATGCTTTGCTGGACTAAAGATAAGAAAGAATCTGATGTTCTGGCACAGGGAGAATGCGTGCAACCCACATGTTGGGCTGTCTCTGTAGAGCAGTAAATGTGTAATAATAGAGGGAAATGAACAGTCCCAGGTGAAGGAAGGTGTTTCCAGCTGTAACTTGAACAGAATGATGCAATGACATGGTGGCTCAGCAGTCCAGGAAAGCACAATTAAATTACAGGTGTGGTAGAGGAGGTTCTCAGGTCACTTCTGGGCAATGCCAGCATGGCCTCCTCCAAAACATTCCTTCTTTAGGAAAGCTCCTTTAGCACTGAAACTGCAAAACAGCCACTCAAGCAGATCTGACAGGATTTAGTTTCTTACCTGACAAGACAGTGAATTTTAGGGCTTCTTGAGCCATCATGTTCACAAAGCCATTCAGCAGGGAATCCAAGGCGTTGCCAAGCTCCATCAAGTACTTGGATTCCCAGGCCAGGCAGTACTGCTCACTCGAGTGCAACATGCTGCTCCACGGGGCTGTGAAGCTCCCTGGGAAAGGTTGCAAAGATGGAATTCATGTTGGGAGAGAACACAATGGCTGATTCCTGGCAAGAGGAGCCCAACAGAGGATCAGAACAGAACCTGCAGGACACTGGAATATTCTAGCAATGCTATTAATGACAGATCAACACTGAAGGGCAGAGCAGAACTGTCATCTTAATTAATTAAAAGCCTTCCCACAATGTTTCTTGCCCAAGCAATGCAGATCAGGTTGAGGCTGCTGACCAAAGTGACACAAGATTCCCACTGTAGTCTGTCTTATTTGGGGAAACGTTGATTGGTGACTACTTGCAGCTCCAAAACCACAAGGTGGCAAATTCCATAAAACTCCTGTCCTCAGTCCCTCTGCTTGAAGGAGTGTGTACACAGACAGACACTGCTGTAAGGGGGAAAATGGATGACAACCCTAGTTTTGTTCTTTAAAACATTCTAGCAGATTACTAGTTATGGAAGAAGAATGTGTGTCATCTGTAACTCCCTTTTACGGGCAAACAGACACAAAATGTTCCTGGAGGAACACACTTGCCTCTCTAACTGTGCCTGGGAGCCCTCCAGCTCTGAGGACTTGGACCTCTGGCAAGTGAAGAGAGAAGCCAAAGCATAGCACTGCAAAATGAGATCTTCCCTGTGACAGCAAGCTGCAGCCTGGCAAGTGACAGGCAAGGCATCCTTCTGCATTAATGATATCCAGAGTTAATTATGGTGCTTCTCAATAAACTGGCAGCTGTTCAGTCAGCTGAAGCTGAGCACATTAGCAGACAGGTGACATATTTTATATGACAAGCTACACTGGAAAACAAAGCACTACAGACCTTTCAAGGTTTCCCCTGTAAGTCACCTCCGGAGTGCTGTCCTTAACAGGATTTACTTGACAGAACTTTCTTGCCAATAAACCTCATTAGCTGGCAGATATGGAGAGAGCAAAACCACACTATTTTCTGTTAATTCCTGGTGGATAAACATAAGGTCTCAGAGACACTTTGTACTAGTGCTGGCAATCATCTTCCAGACAGATCTTTTCTGGCAAAATCATGCAACAGTTCCTATCAGAAACAATCCTGCTAGGGCTGCTCCCAGTCCTGCTACCACCACCAACATAATGCCCTCTTTTTTTTCCTCTGTTTGCCTGGGATTGCAGATTGAGTTGCAAAGTCTTATGGTGAGAATTAATGTGGTTCAGTTATCATGCCATGGAAATGTGGGGCAGATATGGTGCATTTGTGAGCATAAACACAGCCTGGAGTAGGACACAGCCACAGCTCTTGGAGCTCCTCTCAGCTTCTCATCATGCTCTTACCATATTTGCCAGTGCACAGCCATCCAGTGATTGCTATGGTGATGTGGAGCTGCTTCCCTTCCGTAAGTGGGAGGAATTCAAACTCTTCTATGGCTCCCACACGTTTCTTCATTTTGTATCCTACACAGAGCCAGGAAGAAACACACGGCTCAGAGATGGCACAGAAAGGACACCCTCTGCTAACAGTAGGACTTCGTTAAGAAATTAATTGGGTAATCTGGAGAGGGATTTTTTCCTTTCCAAAACCCTCAGTCAGCCCATGCATTACTTATAGCATAGTAAGGAGCCAACATGATTTTTCTGAGGTTGTGTGATCTGGGGGAATCCAGCAGAAGGATTTTTTTTGCTGTAACAGCTGCTTTTCTCCATGGCAGCATCTTTCTAACCCAAAGCAGGAAGTTTTCATTTCCTTCATTAACCACACACCAAATATTCCTTCCCTATTTGGTCACCAGGGGCTACACAGTACCTTAATCAGCACTGAGACAAAAATCTCACAGATTACACCTCAAATCGCTTCCCTCACTCTGCAGAGAGCTCAGTGGGGTCATTAACTGTGCTTGCAGACATGATCCTGTGCCCCAGTGGCTGAGAATGGTGTGGTCACTCTCTTACCAGTAAGTCCAGCTCCTGCTGCTCCAAAAAGGGATGCCATGACAGCAATCCCAGCAGTGGATCCCAAAGCAGCTGCTCCAGCACTCCCGATGATCGTGGCAGCTCCCGCAGCAACCAGAGGGGCAGCCAGGCCTCCTGTCAGACCTGAGGATGCAGCAAGAGACATCACCAAACTATTATCCCCTAAAAACCCCAGGCAGGCATTCCTCTGTGCTGGGAGAGTGCTGCTACTGCTGCTGGAAGAGCCTTTTGCATGTCCAATAAAGAGGCTTTCTGAGACCCTCCCCAGGCCCTGAATCTCTGCCCAAATTCTTTGACTGACTTCAGATAAATGAAGAATAATTTCAAAGTCAAAGGAAGACTATGTGGTGATCTGGGGTGAGCTGTGCTCTGTTAGCTCAGGAAACATTGATCTAATCTCACACTTTTGATTTCAGAGTTGAAGATCTGATCCTCTTATAATATGACAGCAAAAAAGGAGAAAACATTTTTAAGGGGTGACAACCTCAGTTTAATACTTGCCCCAGCTAATGAAGCTACACTGGAATAACTTTTCCAGCTGAGGCTTTCATGTTTATTTTTGTGGGGCTGAAAATACTTTTCTTGGAGTCAGACCCCTCTCTGTCCCTGGTGCTGTGTCCCCAGAAGGCCAAGGGCAGCCTCACCAATCACTGTTCCACCCCCAACAGTTGCCAGACCGATCAGCAGGTATCTCTTCAGCTTCTTCCTTTTCTCCTTCTTTTTTCTTGAGACTTCCGCAGTTCTGTGGGGGGATTAAAAGTACAAAAACTAAGGGAAAAGCCCAATGGATAACAATGCTGCATCAGAATCTGCTTTTATTCTCCTCAGTGTAACTTCCCTCCCAGGAACAGTAAAAAGGAACATGCAGGTGTGGACTGTGACAGCACACTGAGATTTATGAGCATGGATTTAGAGATTTAAATTGAATGGATTAAATGGACCACAGATTTAAATTGAAACAATTTAATTGCTGACAAAAGCCAACAGATATTACTTACTCAGAAAACCCTTCCTAATAGGGCTGAAGCTTGTAAAAAAAAAAAAAGAAAGAAACAAAAAGTCAAAAGCATTTCATTAACTATATGCTGCCTAAGTGTCCTAAAAAACCACAAGAAAGCTAAGAAGGAACAGGGAAAAGTGTTTGAAATAAAAGGGAATAGGGGTAATTTGCACTAACAAAGAGAGGTGCAATTAAACTGTTTTCCAAAAGCAGTGTTTACTACAAGCTGCTTTCTAATTGCACATCACAATATAATAATATAATAGGAATTAAACACAGTCATCAGTGTGCATTTAAGCTGTATTTTAACAAGCTTATCAGAAAGAGGTAAATAAACCAAAAAAGGAACAAATACCAGTTATTAGCCACTACTTTTGATTTCTCTCCAGTGTCTTTGTTTTCTGTCTTACAAGAAGTACTTCCATTTCAGAGGAAAGTGGGAGAAACAGAGGATACTGGAATAAGTTGTTTCAAGAGGAAGGTTCCTTCTGGCCTGTTTACATAGCAGTTAATCCAGGCCTTGAAATGTGACATTTATCTTGCTTCCAAACTTGGATATTTTCATGTTAATCCTAGCCTAATTTTGGATTTTCATTATCCATATAATTGCTTAATCTTTCCTGGAACCCCCTAAGCACACTGTAATTTTGATTAAGACAATTTTACACGAGTCCCAAACAATATGCAGCTTTGTGAGGCGCAGCAGGAGGGGAATGGAGCTCAGTGGGTGAAATCCCTGAGTCACTGCACTCACTGGCAGAACTCCTATGGACCTGCACGTCATGGAGACTTTGTCTCCACAGAGCCCCTCCAAAAAACCATTGCTCATTACCTTGTGCAGTTGCAAACATGGTGTCTGCAGAGAGAATCACAGAATAACACAGAATCACTAGATTGGAAGAGACCTACAAGATCATGGAGTCCAACCCAGCTCAGACACCTCAACTAAACCCTGGCACCCAGTGCCACATCCAGGCTTTGTTAAACACACCCAGGGATGGGGACTCCACCACCTCCCCAGGTGGCCATTCCAGAACTTTATCACCCTTTCCATAAAAAACTTTTTCCTCATATTCAACCTATATTTCCCTTCGTGCAGCTTAAGGCTGTGTGCTCTGGTTCTGTCAGTGCTGCCTGAAGAAAGAGCCCAACCCCACCTGAGCACAGCCACCATTCAGGAGCTGTACAGAGTGATAAAGTCACCCCTGAGTCTCTTTTCTCCAGGCTGAGCACCCCCAGCTCCCTCAGTTGTTCCTCACAGGGTTTGTGTTCCCAGCCCCTCTCCAGCCCCGTTGCCTCCTCTGGATGTGTCTCAATGTCCTTCCCAAACTGAGGGCCCAGAACTGGACACAGTGCTCAAGGTGTGGCCTCAGCAGTGCCAAGTACAGGGGCAGAATGAGCTCCCTGCTCCTGCTGGCCACACCATTCCTGATACAGGCCAGGAGCCATTGGCCTTCTTGGCAAGAAGGCCAATGGCATCCTGGGCACACTGCTGAGCACATTGCTGGGCACACTGCTGGGCACACTGCTGTGGCACACTGCTGGGCACACTGCTGAGCACATTGCTGGGAACACTGCTGGGCACACTGCTGAGCACACTGCTGGGCACACTGCTGGGCACACTGCTGGGCACACTGCTGGGCACACTGCTGAGCAAACTGCTGTGGCACACTGCTGGGCACACTGCTGGGCACACTGCTGGGCACATTGCTGGGCACACTGCTGGGCACACTGCTGGGCACACTGCTGAGCACACTGCTGTGGCACACTGCTGAGCACACTGCTGTGCACACTGCCGGGCACACTGCTGTGGCACACTGCTGGACACACTGCTGGGCACACTGCTGGGAACACTGCTGGGAACACTGCTGTGGCACACTGCTGGGCACACTGCTGAGCACATTGCTGGGCACAGTGCTGAGCACACTGCTGGGCACACTGCTGGGCACACTGCTGTGGCACACTGCTGGGCACACTGCTGGGCACACTGCTGGGCACACTGCTGTGGCACACTGCTGAGCACACTGCTGGGCACACTGCTGGACACACTGCTGGGCACACTGCTGGGCACACTGCTGTGGCACACTGCTGGGCACATTGCTGGGCACACTGCTGAGCACACTGCTGTGGCACACTGCTGGGCACATTGCTGGGCACACTGCTGGGCACACTGCTGTGGCACACTGCTGAGCACACTGCTGGGCACACTGCTGGGAACACTGCTGGGAACACTGCTGGGCACATTGCTGGGCACACTGCTGGGCACACTGCTGTGGCACACTGCTGAGCACACTGCTGGGCACATTGCTGGGCACACTGCTGGGCACATTGCTGGGCACACTGCTGTGGCACACTGCTGTGGCACAGTGCTGGGCACACTGCTGGGCACACTGCTGGCTCATGTTCAGCTGGCTGTCGAGCCGCACCCCCAGGTCCCTTTCTGCCTGGGCACTGTCCAGCCAAACCATCCCCAGCCCAGAGCATTGCAGGGGGTTATTGTGGCCAAAATGTAGGACTCAGCACTTGGATTTATTAAGCTTCATCCTGTTAGACTCAGCCCAACTGTTCCAGGTCTCCCTGCAGAGCCCTCATATCTTCCAACAGATCGACACATGCTCCCAGCTTAGTGTCATCTGCAAATTTACTAATGAAAGACTCAATCTCCTCATCCATGTCATCAATAAAAATATTGAACAGAACTGGTCCCAGCACAGAGCCCCAAGGGACACCCCTGGTGCCTGGCTGCCAGCTGGATGCAGTACTGTTCACCATCACTCTCTAGGCAGGCCATGCAGCCAGGTCTGAGCCCAGCACAGAGTGCTCCTGTCCAAGCCATGGGCTGCAGCTTTTCCAGGAGTGTGCTGTGGGACACAGTGTCAAAGACCTTGGTGGAGTCCAAACAGACACATCCACAGCCTTTCCTGCATCCACCAGGAGTGTCACCTGCTCAAAAAAGGAGACCAGGCTGGTCAAACACAACCTACCCTTCCTAAACCCCTGCTGACCAGGTCTGATACCCTGGCCATCCTGTAGATGCTACATGATGACACTCAGTATAAACTGCTCCATTATCTTGCCAGGTACCGAGAGCAACACTTCTCCAATTTCTGCACAGCCACAGCTACTTCTACAGCCCCACAGACAAAGCAGGATTTGGCTATCAGAGAATCATGGAATCACTGAGGTTGGAAAAGATCCCAGGACCATCAAGTCCAAGCTGTGTCCAATGCCCACCCTGTCACCCAGCTCAGAGCACTGAGTGCTATGTCCAGTTGTTCCTTGGACACCTTCAGGGATGGGGACTACACCACCTCCATGGGAAGCCCCTTCCAATGCCTGACAGCCCTTTCCATGAAGAAATTCCTCCTGATTTAACCTGAACCTTCTCTGGCACAGCCTGAGGTCATTTCCTCTCATCCTTTCCAAATGCTCTACTTTGTGCCTTAGTCACCAGTCTGAATGCTTGGCTTTGGATAAAATTGCTCCTGGAGTTCTTTATATGAGTGCTGCAGCCAGGCTGTTCATACCTAAGCTGGCAATACCCAGCAATTTCTGTTCTACATGAGGTTCATCAGCTTTTACAGTCACCGCAGTGTGTCTCAGCCTGACAGTAATGACAAGAGAGCTGGAACATGTCTAACTTGGAGTCAGTTGGAATAACGAGCAATTTGAGTTATGTGGGGAGAAAGAGAGTGGCAGCTAAATCCTGCCTGCTGATGCAGTAAATAAAAGAAGTTCTGCCTGTCACTGCTTCCTTCTGGAGCTGCCAGCAGCTGCTTCCTAATGGCTCCTCCATTACCATTATCACTGGATTACCAGACTGCTTTTATCCACTGTGGTAATTAACTGCTGCTTCTGGTATTTCTCTACCCTCAATGAGCTCAGATGTGCAGCTTCTAGCCTGAATCACAAGTTATATTCAGAGAGATTGTTATGGGGAATTTCAGGTGATTTTCCAATAAGGAAAGGTGCAGGAGCACACATCAGCAAGTGAATGTTGTGATGTTTTCCAGCTTCCTACAGAACTGTGTACAAAAGAAAGGTTCTCACCTGCAGGTCAGAGCACATTTAGTGCAACTAACACAGTTTAAGTGGTTTGAGCATTATTCTTTAGAGTATTGTACACTTAATCTCATAGGTTCTGGGCCTCAATCCAACATATCCACATCAGCAAAGGCAGGAGCAAACCTCCTGTAAACAAATATCAGTAAAAACACCTGTGCAGGAGCTGCCAAACCCCTGGTTGGTTATTTCTGTTCCAAAACATCTTGCTGGTCAAAGCTGGAAGGATCCCAAGCACATAATGGTATTCCCAGCCCCAAAATCCGTGAGGTCAAGGTGGTGACAGGTTTATATTTTGCTTCCTTTCCCCATTGACTCCTGACTTCAAACCAAAGAAAGGGTCATCAGTTCCCCACAAATCTCAGCCTTGTTTAAGCACAGCAACAACAATGTGTTCGCACTGTGGGCTTGGGCCCCTCTCACCATAAGGATTTTTCTTTTATTTTTATCCAATAGACATTTACTCCCATGGCTGCAATTTGGGCAAAGGACAAGTAGGAATCCCACAGCAGACACAGAGGAAACCCACTGGGCTGGCAGCAGGGTTTGAAATCCACACTGTTCTTTCACTGTTCTTTCACTGTTATCAGACAGTGAAAGGCCCAGCACTGAGTCTGCTTTCACAAACTACAGCAAAACAGTCCCCATTAATACCAACCCTTGCTCCTGCACACCAAATGTTTAGAAGTCCACGATCTTTGAGATTATTCTGACTTTGCCTTTTTACAGTGTGCTGTAAAGTTAAGCATTATTGAAACACAGCTGTTACTGGAAGATACCCATCACATGCTGGACCCCATGGTAAATATCTGAGCTGAACCATGACAAGAGTCTTGATTAAAGACTTTATTAGCATTCAGGGTAATCTCATAACCTGTTTGCTGAGTTGACAGATGAAAATATTTCCCTTGAAAGTTCACTACGGACATGTTTTACTGCCTTAAATATTGCTAAACTTTCACACAATTCCTGCCTGATGAGAGGAATATAAAGATACTACATTTCTTATAGATACCAAGAACTAACCCTATGTTAATAACACAGAATTATGAGCCAGGTCTGTACATATGTGAAGATTCAGCCTGTTGCCCTCAGAAATTTCCCTTCAATAGGAATTATCCAGCTGTCTCTTAAAGATGCTTAAAGACAGATCCAGAGACAGTGAACAGCTGAGGATCTAACCCTGATTATCTGTAGGAATTTCATTTTGCAAGAGGCAGTTCTATCTGAAGGATATTGGGCCAAGAGACAACAAGATCTGTGTGATGTATTTATGCAAAATCTACAGTCTCTGAGAAGCAACTGGAAAGAGGAAAGGAGGCAGCCCAGAGCAGAACAGCCTTTACCAGTGTGCAAGGCCAGGTCTCAGCTCTGATTTTAAGAATGCTGAGCTTTTCTTCTTGTCAATGTTGTGAGGGCTCTGCAACCCTAATCAAGCCATAAATGATTACAATAAAAGCCATGTGGGGAATAATCAGAGACTGGACTTAGGCACAAGTAATTACTGCTAAGTTTTTGAGCACTGGCAGTGTTTTTTGATCCCATATCTACCCAAACATTCTTACTCTGACTCTTCCTCTTTTTGTTCCTTCAGGCTCTCAAGCAGAGATTCCTCCAGGACTTCCAGATCTTCCAAGGGAATTCTCAGCAGCCAGCTGACACGGCAGATCAACACCCTGGCACGAGCATCATAGGATCCTTGAAGAGAGAAAAGCCCAGGAAATCAGTCTGATCAGTCTGATGACACAGTTTAGTTAAGGAGCAGAGCACTCAAGGAATGTGTCACAGAGCAGCTCCTTCCCCCAGGCCCTCCTTTTCTTCCAGGAACATGAGAAGAGACTGATAAATGGAAAATCCTTCTTCCCTGCAAACAGAGCCACCACACCAGGTAATGCCTCTGTGGCAGGAAAAGGATCTCAGATCCTTTGGTCTCCATCCTCTGTGGTAGAGGCTGCTGGCAACTTTGCAACAGAGAAATGCTGCAGCAGGACCACTGCTAACTGGAAATATCAAACATGTCTGTGTGGGTAACTGGGCACAGCCCACCTCAACTGCACCACTGCAGGAAGGTGGCATTTTGTAAAAATTCACCTCCATGCAAAAGCTTTATCTTCTCCTTTGGTGGCAGCAAGAGGCACTCAGGAGTGTAAAGCTACACACTAGCTCCCCCAGCAGCACCACGGACAAATGTTTGCTTTTACACTCCCTGCTGGAGATGCAGAATGCACTCAGACAACTGCAGACAAATGAACTCAATACTACTGGTTTTGTGAGCAGGTGTTCTTCAAGAAAAGACATCTTAGAAGAAAAAATAGCTTAAATGTAATAGATTTTAAATTATTTGTGCCAACTCTTGCTTTTTTCATGTGTTTCTCTCAGCAGCATCTACTACTTCCTGATGTTTGGGTTTATAAAGGGTTCTTGGTGCACTCTGGGATGAAAAACACAATTGTTATTCTCCAGGTGGGTGAAGATACCAGCAAGACCCAATTACAAAGAATGTTTGTGATACCCGCTGCACGTAGATCAAACAGGGCATTGGGCAATCTATTAGGATTGTTTATTTATTACCATCATTACCAAGATACCAAACTAATTCCATAGCTTTCAATGACACTCTTGATCAGGTTTGTGCGTAGTTGAGAAATGAGGACAGGATTTATCTTCACTCCTTCCCGAAATGTGGCACGTCCTGCAAGTCCAGGCAGGTGGAACGAGCCCCCTTCTTTTTTCTGTCTGCTGACACTGCTGGGCTCCTTCCTCACCAGCCTGGTGGGAAGGCAGTGAGGCTTGGAAAGAGATTGCTCCTAAATTCCAGCTTCACAAAATAAGCCGTTTTGCAATAACTGACTTGTCAATTTTCCATTAAAAATAAAGCAAGAACAAAACTTGTTTTGTTCTGCAGTGCAACAGGCTATCAGCAACCAGTGAGTTCTTTCCTGTGAGGACATGTTAAAACACAGAGATTTAAAAAATGCAAGTAGTGATAGAATCCAGGCTTCTTTTAGAAATGAACATTCTGTTCAGCAGACAGTCTTTATTTCATTAATTTTATCAGACTAATCCATGTAATGGATTGCAAGCCAGAGAATTGTTTTATGTGTAATATAATATATGAGAAAAATCACATTTATTTATAATGGGCTTCACAGGACACTCTGGAATTTATACCCTGATATTTTTTTTTCTTTTAGGCAACCAGCAGAAACTATTTTAGGCTGAGATTTTCATAACAGCTTTACTGCCTTCCTAAAGGAAGAGATCACCTGATTCCCTGGAAACATTGGAGAAAAAACACCCCACTCCACCACTATTTACATCTGCTTGGCAATGTATGGTGTGTGAAGGTAAGGAGGTGAAGAGCTGTTCAATTTTCAGTGGCTATTATCAACCATTCCTAAAAGAAGAGCTGTTTTTCCTGAAGGGGATGCAGGGAAGGAGTGTGCAGCTTTTGCCAGAGAGGAAGCTGAGATGAAATAGGACAGTACCTTTTTGAGCACTTCAAAGCATCAGATGTAAACTCAACTATATTATTTTTACAAAGAAAAAGTAAACTTACCATCTCGAAGAGAGAACGATAAAAGGTCCTAAAGAGAGAGAAAAAAAGAATATTCAATTTAAAATTGATAATGTAGGTCTGGAGGGATCAAAATGGAGGCATAAAACCCATCACACTGAATTACTGCAGCAACTCAGTTCATAAGAGGGAAGCAGAAAGTTACAATTCAGTGAGGCAGCAGAGAGCAAAAGCAGTCCAAAATTCTCTGAAGGCCAGTACAAAGGGCTGGACAGAAGCAGATAATGGGTGGTATATGCTAAGGCATCCCACATTTTTTGTTATTTTGTTATGACCCTGATCTTACACCAGACTTTAAAGTTTGGAGGAGCAGGGTTCTAATCCACCCACTCTAATGCTTTCTGCTCCCTACAGTCACATATGCAACATCACTAACAGGTCTGAATGTTCCTCTAATGGCCCCTATTTTCTTTGGCATTCTGGGAATTCACAGCCTTAGGCAGTAAGGCTGAACTGGCATGAAGTTCTTTTGGATTAAGTGAGTTTAAAAACTCAGAATTTATGGACATCTGTCAAGATTGAGGGACTTGACTCCTGTGTTGGCTCTTTACCATAAAAAAATGGAAAAACAGATCAATTCAATGGATGGTTTCTATGGATAAATCCATGAAAAAGAGGCCAGTGTTTTTACAACTGTGTTCTCCTCTTTTATTGCCACTGGACAAATTCTAAGCTCTTTATGTGACTACATTAAGCACCAGCTCAGTTGAGCTGCTTCCCTCTCCTACACACAAATACAGCACAGCTGAATTTTACACAGAATCCTTTCAGCCCTCTGGGAACACAAAAAATGCAGCCAAAGATGTAGGAGGCTGCCAAAGAGTTTATGATTATTAGTCCTGTAAGCTCCCAAGCACAGTTTGTATAGTAAAAACGTCTCTAACCTGAGAGTCCTACACATGAGGAGTGCAGAATGCAGAACAAACCATCCTGAACCAGCCAGAAGAGGGACAAACTGCAGGCTGCTCCCCAGGCTGGCTGGTGGGGTGTGGGAATTGGAGGCACCAGTACAGAGGGAGGAATGTAACTGGTTTCCCCAAAGCCTGAGTACTGGGAGTGCCCAGGAATCAACTCTGTGTCCACCATCACCTCCTCTCTGGGTGCATTTCTGGGGGAAGGGTTGGCACAGAGGTGTCAAAACCCAGCAGAAGGTGCAGGGCTGGGAGCCTTGAGCAAAAAGCTGACCAAGCAAAGGGCCTCGAGTCTGGAATAAGGTGAAGCTTGTGACCTTGTTGCCACAATCTTCCATGGAGTGCCATAAGCAGCCTCTGGAAGAGGTGATGGCTTGTGAGCAAGAAACTCTCCCTGAGTGAGGCTCAGGGAGCCGGGGCTGTGACTGAGGTCTGGTCCTGTCTGCCCAGGATCACCTGGGGCACCTCATATCAAACCACCCCAAATAAATCTGGCCTAAGCATGTATACATGTGCCTTTCAAAAGGTCAGGGAGGCACGTAAGTAAACAGGTGATAAACTGCAACAACTCTTTTTATGGTATCTGTGCCAGTTAGCAAACTCAAATTTAGGCTGCTGTTTAGGCTGTACACATACTGCACATGCAGGCAGCTGGAATCCTACCAGCAGTGATTAGATTAGTTCACAACTGGCTTGTTTTCCTCCCTAAGCAGCAGTTGTTATATTGCAGCCTTATTGTGAAGTCAGTGTTTTGAATCTCCATGAAAACTCCATGACAAGACAACCACCCATATGACTGAGAAGCCTTACAAAAGAAGGGAGTCTTTATTCAGTCCTTGCCAGCTTTTTCTGAGTTGATGCAAGTTCAAAACCCACTTCCTTAACAACAGAGAGCCTCAAATCCACATTACAGTGAATGTGGGTAGGAAACCACTGGAATATGGGTATTGCAAGTATGCTGAGAGAAAAAACATATTCATAATAAGAATTTCCAACATGTAATCACCTATCACAGCTTCTACACCTCTTTTATTACATTGCCTTCCCATAGGACACCCATAGCCTGCTATGACTACTATCTTTAAAGGATTCAGTTACCACCATCTGCCTGTGTGTTAGTCATCTGCAATGACACAAAAGACACAAAGATAACAATCCATAATCCTCAGATGTTCACTGAATCAATGGTGAGCTCACATCTAATCTTCTGACTTCATGGATCATCTCTTCAGCTCCTTTGACAAGAAGAGCCTTCAAAAAATGCAGCATTAGTGCCAGCAAGGCCCTGCACTGAACATGCCGAGCAATTAAAGCAGATACTTAATAAACAGTAAATATTGCATCAGCAGCTGCTGAATACAAAGGAGCACTAGAACCATAAAGCAAGAAATCAATAATTCATAAAGCTTTGTCCTGCAGCTTGTTTATTTCCAGGTAAGAAGGAAAAAGCTGATCTCAGCTTATTGTTGATGTTTGCCACACACCAGGGTTTTTTCCAGACACACCTCTGCTCCCTTGCTCTACTGAAGTCTTTCATTCTGCCTCTCCTCTGACATGTAGATGACTATGTAAGAGATTGCTGCTGTGGTATTAGACTGATAGTTATTCCTCATCTTTGCTTTCAACTGATCAAAGCTGTCTATGGTCTCTGTATTCCACCAAAATCCAGGGGATATCCTCAGTTTCCTGTCAGGGCAAAAACCCGTGTGCTTCCACTGATCCAGAGCCATTTTTGTACAAGCACATGGAGCCCTCATGCAGCATAAGCTTGGAGCAAGCACAAGCTAAATTCCATCCTTAATAAACTCAGCAGCAACACAGGAAAATCTGCCTCAATGCAGAGAACCCATCCTGAGGCAGAGAGAATGAGAGAACAATGCAGGAAGCACATCAAGGCTGAAGGAATGAGTGTGGATGTATTGAATTTGAGGAAACAGCATCCAAAGAGGCACTTTTATTTTAGAAGATCTGCTCCAAATTATTAAGATTAAGATCCCTGTTGCTGTCCCTGTACCATTGTAGGACTTTGGGCACTGGAACATTTGGACCAGGACCAGGTTCTCTGAGGCATTTCATGGACTGACAGGAGAGAGAAAGAGGTGGCTGAGGAAATGGGAGCCAGTCAAGGTGACCAGAGAACTTCAGTGCTCTCTTATCTCCCCTAACACAGCCAAGTTCTCACATCTGCTGTTCTGCCAGGCCATTGCTCAAGGTGAGTGTGTGATAGCCCTTAATCAGCCAATATCAGAGCACTGGGTGCCCTTGGGGTGTCTGGATCAGGGTGACAGTGCCCATGTTCTGTGTGGCACCAGCAGCAGCCTAACACTCTCTTCACCCTGCATGGCATAACATGAGGTTGGATGAGGAGAGATCTTCCCCAGCAAAAGCAAATGCTGCCAAAATGCTCCACCTCTTTTATCTTTCTGCCAGCTTTTACAGCAGAACATTATGGAGCAGTCCCAGTTTCACTTCCTCAGTGAAAGAAAATAAAGTCACAATAATTTCCTTCTGGTCAAAATATACTCTGGGAAAAAAGACTTTGGAAATTGTGCTCCCTGGAGCACGTGTGTGGAGGTGGTTTGTGATACACATATAGTGAAGGGGCTTTCAAACAAGTGAGAATCATGTCTACTATGTTCATGGTGTCACTAAAATCTGTACAACACGTGTATGAATGGAGACCACTGCAGTAACACAATCAAAGTAAAAACTTTGTCAGCTCTCTGTTCTGTAAAGTGAAACCATCAAAGACACAGCTCAGCAGACAGTGACCATGCTTCACGTTCATCATTTCCATGAAGTCTTTATGGATAGACTGCCAGTTCCCCCACAGCTGCTTATAAATAAATGCCTATCAGAAATATTGGTTTTATTTCCCTGACTGCACAAACATCACTTCAGCTGCAAACAGGCAGATATGACAAACCTCTTTTGCAAAGCAAACAAGGGTGAGGGGAGCACATGGACTTACCTGGGTAATGAGAAGTGGATTTTCTTTCAAGATGGGATCCTTCAGCAAAATTTCAGTGAAAGTTTCTGTGCCCTCACCTCCCAAGCCATCAGCAAAGGCTGTCATGGCAGGTAAGACAGCATCAGGGAGGTCCAGCCACTTCACAAAGTCTTTGATGAATTCTGTCCTGAAGGAGCTGTAAGGCAACAGAAGCAGTTAAGGCTTCACAATTGGGTATTTCAAGGCTTTACAACTGGGTATTTTTGGAAGTTTTGAGCAGTCTTTGGTTTCAAAAATCGGTTCAAACAAAAATCAAAGCATCAGGAGTCAGATGAAGGTGAATTGCTAAACCAACTGGCTAAATAAACAAGGAAACAATCTGAGTGGGACTAGACCTTGCTTCAGAACATGCTTTGATGTCTGCAGTGTTAACAGATGTGTTTTGTGCTGAATTGTAAAAGCCTTACAGGTGCAAGAAAGGATCTTCCACTCCCCCAACTTCAGAGGACCCCGCACAGAGTGTGATACCAGCTCTGGCTGAGCCACCACCCAAACTCCCCCTGGCCTGCCCAGGCCTGGCTCCACTTGTACCTTTGCTCGTTTTCAGGGAACAGCCAGGCGAGGGATATCCCGCAGAGCGCGGCGTACGCGAACCTGCCGGCCTCGGGCAGCTGCCGGCCCCGCAGCGCGCCCGGCTCCCTCTCCCCGCCGGGCTCAGCCTCCGCCTGCTGCTCCGGAGCGCAGCCTTTCCCCTTCTCCTCCGCAGCCATCTTCACCTGCAAGTTCAAGGAGGAAAAAGCAGCAGAAAAAAACCAGCAACGAACAGTTGGAAACCAGGAAGTGAGGAGACAAATTGCCTTTGTTTTCATTGCCATACTTGCTGCTGGAATTAAGTCAAGTCTGACCAGGTCCAGCCTGTCTGTTGCCCCCAACACACTGCTGTGACCAAAGAAGACACAGGAACAGGACACAGATGAACACTTCATCAAATTGTTCATCAATTCTCAAACTTTGCACAAAATTAGCTGACAATAAATATTTCAACCTGCAAAAGGACAAGTTCTCCTTGGGGTGCAAAAGGACTGGGCTCCATTCAGGCCTATCAGTCCCACATTTACTGCAAAAATAACATGAAAATAAAAGCTTTGCCCCTGGTGTACAGCTGCCTGGGAAATAATTTTCCTCTCTCATCCTCAGCCCAAATTGCTCCTGTTTGTTTTGCTGACAGCATTAAGAAAGTTGAGTCCAGCTGCAGCCTCTGAGAAGGACTTTGATGTGTCCCATGGTCATTGCTGTGCTTTGCTTGTTTATTCCTCCTCTATACAACCTATCACTGCTCTTTCCCTAAAAATAAGATCCGTGCACCACATGGACCATGAGCTGGGCCAAGGCAGTATTTTTTAGAGTGTAGATGTGCACACACTTCCAAGTGATGGGCTTCCAGCTGCTCCCCTGATGGTGCCAGCAGCAAACGGAGACCTCAGGCAGAGGTGACAAGAGTTAGCTCATTTCAAATTCAACCTGGGTGACAACCTGGTCCAGGGCTCACTTCCATCACCTGGAATTTCTACTGATTACCTTAAGATCCAATCAGTTTCTAAGGGGCCCAAATCACCCATTTCATTTTATAGTTCAAATTAAAATGTTTCCTTTCTTCCACACCCTGGCTAAATAGGAATTAGGAGCCCATGACACTACAAGTGACTCTCAGGGGATGCAGACCATTTATGGGTTGTTTTAGAGCCCTAAAAGAAAAAACTTCAACAGGAGCTGTTCTTTGTAAAGAGAATTTATTATCTACCTGCCATCTGTCATGGTCCTTTAGGAAAGGTGTCTCTCCTGCATTCCCACTCAGAAACTCTAAACACCCAAACTTCCAGACCAATTTTCCCAGCAACAATCTAACGCTAAAGTTTCAATAATTTTACAATTATTTGTCATGTCTGCTCACCTCTGGACACATTATGGGAGACAGCACTCCCATATACAAAAAATAAAAACCCCCTTCCCTGAAAGATTTATTGATTTCTTAGCTTGGGCTCATATGAAAAGTGAAGCAGCTAAATAAGATCCATGAGCAGTACAACTGTTTAACCTAATTTCCTAATAACATAAAACATGGAGCAATAATGGAGCAATACCATGATGGCTCCTGGCATGCAACAAATAATTCAGAGTGCTGATAGCTAAAATACCCAGAGAAAGTTTCTGGAAGGCTTTGCTCTGAAGATGTTCAGATCAATGTACTTCCCTCTACACAGGTATCTTTTTCCTTATAAACAGGTAGGAAAAAATGGGCTTGGGATTTTCAGACATACAGCGTAAAAAAAGGGCAGTGTGTGATTTACTAAAGAAAACTTGCACCAAGAAGTTTTGCCACAAATCCAAGATGAGGGAATTGAGAGTTAGAAACATATTCTAAAAGTTATTTATTCCAAAAGGTTTTAAGTCTCATGGCACTGGAATTCCGATCTCTGCCTCAAACAATGTAGTTCAGCAACATCATTGCCATAATCTGAACTGTCACTTGAAGGAGATTTTTTTATCACTTCCAGCTCTCATTTTTCAAACAAAGCCCTTTGTTTTCTTGAGAAATTATGTATTTTATACAGCAAATAACACAATCCTGTTTAGAAAGCAGAAAGATAATTTCTTTGGGGATCTAAAGCTTTACAATACACGTGTTCCCTGCAGCTGAAAGAGGAAATAGAGACGGGCTGGCATCGTGTTTGTACTAAACTGTGACAAAGGCAACCAAGCCATCATATCCACAACCTCCCAAAGTTAATGAGGCATCTCATTAACGGGATGGCCAGAGAGTTCCGTGTAAGGCACAGTGGAGACAGCACAGCCCAGCTGTAGTTACACATCACACGCAACGCTGTGGCTGTGGAAATATTTGGGCAAAAGAGATTTTTTGGGGACTTGCACATGGCTCCGGAGGTGCTGGGAGCACCACAGCCTCTGCTTTTAATCTGTACATACAAGGTATAAACACAGAATGCCGTTAATTCAGTTCTGTCTTGATGCAAGAACACATAAATGCGTTATGGATGGGCCACAGGGCTCAGAGCTCGAGGGGACAGGGACACGGAGAAGCCCAAAGCTTAAGCGGTTGGAAAAGTGAGCGTGTTTAATTCAGTTAATCCTAAGGCTGGCACAGCAGCGGCTGAGAAGCGATGTCCTCTCAGTGAAGTGAGCAAAGCTGCGGAGAGGGAACAGCACATTGAGAAGCCTGAAGGCAGCACCTCAGCTGGGGAAGCTGCGAGGGCGGACACCGCCACAGCTGCCCGTGTTCACGTTTACCACAAGTCCTTCAGGTCTGAATTCTCTGCGGCTCCAACACAGGCACTTATTTACGGAAAGCGGCGCTTCTGGCTACGCTGAGGGGAGGGAAGCAGCGGCCAGAGCAAGGGTGCGGCCTGAGGGAACGGCGCCGCCCGCTCGCCCCTCAGCCCGCGGCGCTGCCCCCGCCCAGCCCCTCTCCCGCCCACCCGGCCCGACCTGCCGCCGGTCCGGCCGAGTACCGAGCACCGGGAACGGAGCACCGCGAACCGGGAACCGAGCACCGACTACCGCCGCCAGCGCCCGCCCCTTCCTGTCCGGCCCGGCCTGGCCTGCCTGGCGGCGCTGCGCCACCGGCGCGGCCGAGAGCGTGGGGAGAGCGGGAGCTGCGCTGGGCTGAGGGCATGGAGGGCACGGAGGGGATCACAGAATATTCTGAACGGGAAGGGACCCGCAGTGATCATGAAGTCCAACTCCTGAAGTGAATGGCCCACAGAAGGGGTCAAACCCACCATCTCGGTGTTGTCGGTACCATGCTCCAACCAACCGAGCTGACCCCGGGATCGCCTGAGGGCATGGTGAGGGCTGAGGGCATGGCGAGGGATGAGTGATGCTGCCTAGCCCCATTTCTCACTGTAATTCCCTCTCTCTCAGGGCATAGGGTATTACCCAGTCACTATCCGAAATCAGGAGCTAGCCAGGTAAGGTAAGCAAGGCATGGGACTTCAGAGCTGAAACTTTCTTAACAAAATGACCAGCATGAATTAAACTTGAGTGCAAGCAAATCCTTTACATTTTGGAATAGGAATATAATCCCATTAGCCTTTTCTCTATAAACGTAATTGCCGCTTCAGTCTTGCATGGTTATTGAGCCTAATTACCTTGTCAGATGGGAATGTGTTCAAAAGATAGCAGGTTCCAGAGCCTCATGACTGCCACAGCATGGGCGAACTCTGACTCACCAGGGTGTTAGTGGCTCTCAGACTGAAAATCATTTTAGTGGAACTCCTGAAGGAAAACTTAGAAGGTGCTGCACTTCAGCTCTGTGGATCCATAAGGATTCCTTCAGAGGGACAGTCTCACCCTGGTAACCACACTTCTGTATGCTGCCCTTTCCTGTTGACCTTTTTTTTTGGGCTCTGTAGAAAGTAGTGTAATAAAACAATTCTTTTGGAAGAGCAGGGTGAAGCATAATAAGAGATTTCACTGGTCATGTTCATTCTGTTTTCATTTCTTCACACCCATGTGCTGAAAACATACATTTGCTTGCAGGATCCCTTGTGAGTGATCTGTTCAGGCCAATATGAATTCATTTGTTACAGACCTTTACAGTACCAGTCACCCACTGGTGTTGGTGAAGGGAACTTGACAAGAATATTCTCTGTGAGCTTTAAGACTTGCCCAGTGTTTTTAAAATTATTTTCAGTGCAGCTAAATATCTGGTCCGGCCTTTATATTTGGAATTATATAGTATTTGGGTTAAAAACCACCTGCCTTCTTTCCCAGGTGGAAAGCTTTTTTCTGGTTGGTTATTAGCAAGTGTCATATGTATTCTGCAGTAAGCTTGTTGCTGTCCAAAGAGATGAGCAAATCCAAAGGATTTATATCCCCTGAAGGCTCCCGTTCCTGGCAGCAAACAAACCTGTGTTTTCCAAGACTTTAGCTGCACAAGAGCTCTTACCCTCTTAGTCTAATCTGTTTTATCTGCTGTGAGACATTCTGTGTATTTATATACTGAGCAACTGCAGGACATCAGTTTCCATTCTTATCAAACACAAATATTTACCTGATCCAAGGTCTCCTGAGATCCTTGACACTCTTAAACATGCAGTTTAACTAGAGAAATCTATTTTTTCCCTCAGTTTAATTTTAGTTGGGTTTCAGGGTATTTTCTTAGCAACTAAGTATTTTTTTAAATGCAGGAACACTCCAACACTTTACTGCTTTGCTTTACTCACCAGCTCAGCTCTGCACACTCCCTAATACTCTTTCTCAGCTGCAAATCCTGTCAATAAGGAAACTAGGAATTGTTTTGACATTGATTGTCAATGAGGAATTGAAACAAAGAAGTCAATGAGCAATTCATATTATTTAAATTTAATGGCGACATTCTGTTTAAAAATATCACACATGGTGTGGCGCAGCAGTCAGTGGATTTCTGTTTACCTCTGTGAGCATTTTCAAGGCCAATGTTAAGGGGGAAAGAAGAGAGGTCCTGCAGGTTGCCAGATAAAGGAATTAGGTGAGAGGAACTACTTCAGTGCTAAATAATGTGGGGAATTTGGAGGGTCATGAGGTTTTTGAGCCTTGCCCTTTGCAAGCCACATACCAAGATCAGGAGTGTTGATTTTGCGTCTTCCTCTCCAATTTTGTGTGTAATTTCAAATGACTGAACTGACATCCCCTTTTCCCATCCCTGCCAGGGATTGAGGTGATAATCTGGGTTAAAAAAACTCTCTTTCAAACACCCACTCCCTGATTTAGCAGCCTTATTTCCCACTCTGTCCCAAGGAACGGTGTCCTTGTATTCAGAGTGCGATCAGCAACTCCGGGGTTTTGCAGGACATCACCTCCCAGGTGATAACATCCTGCAGGACACTTCAGGAGGGGACACAGACATGAACAAAATGGCAAAAGCAAACCAACACAATTACAAAAAAAAAAAAAAGTGTGAAAACACATAAATATCAACAAATAAATAGTTCATTTTGTTTGCAGTAATGAGATTTAACAACAGTGTGCATTGGCATTGAGCCAGCTCAGCCAGCTGTTGAATTTATTCTCTGAGAGATTGTTTTTAAGTCCAAAACTCACTGGTGTGCCCAGCAAGCACCTTGGCCCAGTCCCTGATCTCTGGGACAGGCAGGTTAATTGTTTCAGGTCACAGTAACAACGTGGATCTCCTTGTCACAGGAGGCAGGGGAGTCCTTCTTGCACCTGCAGTGGAATTTAGGAGTGCAGCAAAGCACCATAGACATGAGCAACCCCAAAGTAAGCAGGAGACAGATTACCCATTTCACCGTCCCCGAGTACATGAAGGGGAGGATGAGCATGGCGAGGATCACCCCAAGCAGCAGGAGCAGCAGGAGTCTCTGCACAGCCTGGCTGCTGTGTGCTGGGCTGCTTTCCTCTGGGTTCAAAATGCCCTGGCTGCTCTGAGTCCAGCTGTTGCCATCCAGCCCCATGGCACAGATGTACACCTCAGGGTTTGAGTCCAGGCTCTCCAAGCGCTCCAGGATCTCTTCTTTATTCTGAAGTGTGCGGATGAGCCCTCCTGACACGAAGGTGGGTTTTCTGCAGAGAGGGCAGGTGATTGTCCAGGTGCTCTCCTCTTTCCTGAGGATCAGCTTGAGGCAGACGGCGCAGAAGGTGTGCTGGCAGTCCAGGAGCTTTGGGACTCTGTAGATGCTGTACTTGTTGAAGCAGATCATGCAGTCCATGTCTGGGGTGGCTGTGTCTGAGCACTGGAGGTTCAGGTCCAACGTGCTCATTTCGGGAGAGTTTGTGTCTGTTAGCACGGCAAGCGGCCGTGAGTTTGGAGAGTCTCGTTCCAAACCTGCTGGTTTAAAGGCAGCAGGACTGTCTGTCTCTGTTCCTGAAGGTCTCTCCATTTCTTCGGTACGCTCCTCAGTGAATCTCACTCTCTTCTCATGTTTTGAGTTTTGTGTTAAGGATCCTGCTCTGCTCATTTCTGCAGCACCTCTTGCCACGGGCGCTGGACTGTCTGCCTCAGCCTGCAGTACTCCAGGAGCTGACAATCTGTTTTCCTTGTTTGGCTTGTCAGTGAATTTCTCCATGGAGATAAACCTCGGTGCAGCTTGTCTCCCCTCAGCTGAAGGATTTCCTGAGTCTCTGGCTCCTTTTATGTGTTGCTGTATTCCTGCTGTATGCCTGATTGATTAGTGAGAGCCTTAAGCCAGTCATGCTCTTACAATATGATGTTTTTATGACATGGGGACCAGAGTTAATGATTGACTTCCCAGCCAAGACAGTTTACAATGAGTGATAATATCAGTGGGCAATTCCTGTCTGGAAGCAGACTCCGTGGCATTAGCAGACCACTCTGACAGCCAGACACTACCATTATTATTAAATTAGAACTCTCTTAGATGAAAGCAATTTCATTGTTCTCCAAAGAGTGCTCTGCTAGACAGTGACAGGCTTGGGGGAATTACCTGTTTCTGACACTGGTGTGCTGAATGCAGTGCTTTGATTAAAGCATATGTATCAACAGCTCTGGGCTCTCTGGGTAGGAAGTTTGCTCTTGGTTTAAAAACACTACCTGACAGCACCAAGTGAAGAATGAGATTGAAATTGCTAATTTGACTGTTGAATGTCCAATTGTTATTAGCTCTTTTATCATAGGGTATCTCTTTTTTCAGCCTAGGGTGACTCTTTTCTCCTGTTTGTTTTAGTCATCAGAAGGTTTCCAGTACAAACTGAAGCATGACTGAGGCTCACACAGGGTCTCTCAGAGTCCATGAAAGAGATCAGAAAACTAAAAGCAAGAGCAGTGTCCTAGAGGGTGGAACCATCTTCTTTCCTGTGGTGTTCACCAAACAACCTCATACACTTGGGAATGCCCTTCTTGAGTGATTTTGTGAATATTCATCTCATCTGAAAAAAATGCCTGAACAAAATCCCTCAGTCTCTAATTTCTTTCTGCCTTTTTATTTGAGCAGTAAAATACAGATAGTTTTTCAGCAAAAATCCCATGGAAGGGAGGAATGAAAGAAGGAAGGGAAGGATCAGTAATCCCAAAAAGCCAGATGAGGTCAGTGTTAGCAGCAGAAGACACACAGTACCACACTGGTAGCCTCAAGTGCACCTGAATGCTCACACTGCCCGTGCCCCCGAGTCCCAGCCCCTCTGCCCCAGAGAGGAGCAGCAGAAAGAAATGAAAGAACTGCAGATGAGGAGGGCAAGGAGTTCAGGAAGGCTCTAATCTCATGAACTCGCTGGAGGGGGATGAGGTGAGAAGAACTTGTTCTTATTTGCTGAGAAATAGAAGGTTTGTCGTAAGCAAACTTCGTCAAAGTGCCTGAGCCCTCCTGTGTTTCTGCTGATGTGGCACATGGTGGTGCTTGATGGACTTTTGGATTGCCCCAAATTTTAGGAGCCGGAGTATCTCTCAGTTGCAGAAGCTGGTATCAAAGTGCAGGAATGTCTGGAAGTAGGCTGGTGAACTGCAAGACTCACTTATCTTTAAAAAGAAAATTTTCTTTTGCATTTCATATTCAAAATTGTCAGCAAGTTCATGCTGTTAAAAAGATCTGGGAAAGCAGAAAACAGACTTGCCATTATTGCAATAGTTTAGAAACTTCAGATTTTCTCATGTCAAAAATGGAAATGTCTTAAAATCTCCTGATTTGTAATTACTAGAACAGTATAAAAACACCTTGCAGGTGTTGGAAGTTGGAACAGACACCAAGAGGGACAACTACACTCCCAACATAAAAAGTTTAGAACTGGTTGGGATGAATCTATGCTCCATGTCTATCTGCTCTGTGTTCTAACAGTGGGTGAGGGTGACTTGTCTGTTTTTTGTCTTTTGTGCTGGAAAAATTGTTTTTTCTTGTCCTCCAGTGACAAAGTTTTCAGCCAAGCCCTGATTCCGGCTCCGCTTTGTCTCTGGTGTCACTGAGTGATGCTCCCTGGCTGGCATGTGCCTTGTGCTTATCTGAATTGCTCACAGCCCATTAATGCTCCTCTGGCTAATTACTGTCTCATTAATCATTTGCAGTCAGTTTATGTACTCATGCTGTTTTCCTGCTTTTAGTGTGTTTGCATAACAAAATGTGTTTCTATGAGATGCTTTATATGGAATTGTTTATAGCAGGAAATAGATATAAAAGAGCAGTTGTATCATTCCTAGTAAAATCCTCACGTGCCACAAGCCAGACATCCCAGAAGATACTGGGGATACTCCTGTGAGCTTCTCCCTGTGCTGAGCTGTGCTTCAGGCTGTCCTGACTCTGGACCAGAGGAACAGAAAAATGACATCCACCTTAGAATCCCTGTGGTGTGAAGCCTCTTATTGCATTCCTGGGACTGTTCTGTTAGCGTTCCTCACAAAGCTGTTGGGATGTGCCCTCTGAGGTAGGGATTAGAAATTCATAGAATCCCAGATTGGTTTGGGCTGGAAGGGACCTTAAAGCCCATCCAGTGCCACCGCTGCCATGGCAGGGACACCTTCCACTGTCCCAGGTTGCTCCCAGCCCTGTCCAACCTGGCCTTGGACATGTCCAAGAGGATCCAGGGGCAGCCACAGCTGCACTGGGCACCCTGTGCCAGGCCCTGCCCACCCTCCCAGGGAAGGATTCCTTCCCAATATCCCATTTGTCCCTGCTCTCTGGCAGTGGAAGCCATTCCCCCTTGTCCTGACACTCCAGGCCTTTGTCCACAGTCTCTCTCCATCTTTCTTGTCAGCTCCCTGACGAGAAAGGTACTGAAAAGCTGCAATTAGGTCACCCTGGAGCCTTCTTTTCTCCAAACAGAACTGAGAATCTCAGTTCTCCCAGCCTTCCCTCATGGGAGAGGTGCTCCATCCCTCTGCTCATCTTGGCCTCCTGTGGACTCGATGTGCAGCAGTTCTGACAGCACCGGGCAGTTTCTGTCCCGATGCCAGCAGAGGAACCCAGAGTCACGGGCACAGCAATGCCCTGGTGGCTGCTGCTGCTGCTGCTGCATGATTCCTTTAACCGGCTCCTGTGGGACACGTGGAAAAGCCAAAGAGCAGGAGGCTGGCAGGGAATCCTCCCTAAGAGCCCTGCTCCAGACAAATCACCCATCTTGCTGCGCCCCTTTTCCAGCATCCTGTGAGGCGTCTCCCTCAGCGCTAGAGGAAGCAAGACGCGGAGCCTCAGTTTATTACACTTATCACATTTAATTAACCATCGCTGTCTCGGCTCCGCTCCTGCCCTGCCGCCGGTGTCAGCCCTGTTCTCCTGGTGCCACCTCGCGGGTACTCCATCTGCTCAGCTCCCTGTTTGCTGGGGGTTCATTTCGCAGCGGTGATGCGGGATTGAACAGCGGCCATTTGGGGCTGAGCAGCGGTCATTTGGGGTTGAACAGCGCTGATCTGGGCTGAGCAGACACGGTGTGCGGTGGCGCGTCCCGGTGCAGAGTGGGAGCAGAAAGCGCCCACCCGTGAGGTCAGAGCCGGGAACTTTGCCGGGCAGCAGGGAAATACTCTTGGGTGGGAGGAGCGCAATTAGCAGCAGAGGCCAATTAGAGGGAAGCCGGCAGCTTTTGGTACAACATCGGTGACTGTGGCGCTGCTTTCTACAGCCTCCCCAGCCTTTCCTCGCGGACACGCCGCTCTTGGCGCTTGGCTGCGCCGCCCTTCCCTTCGCCGCTCCCGCTTTTCCACGCACAGCCTCAGTTTCCCCCCGGGACCCCTCTGTGCCCTCTCTTCTCCTTCTCCCCCTCCCCCCCTCCTTCCTCCTCCTCCTTCCTCCTCCTCCTCCTGCTCCTCCTCCTCCTCGAGGCTCCCCGGCCGGGCGGGCGCTCACGTGACCCCGTCCCGGCGCCGCGGTCACGTGAGCCGCGCCCGGTTGCGGTCACGTGGCGCGGCGGCCGGCGGGGATGTCACGCAAACAGGCGGGCAAGGCCCGGCCCGCCCCCGCCGCCAGGAAGGGCCGCCGGCCCCGGCATTCCCCCGCCGGACCGGCCCCGGGCCCCGCTGCGGGCGCCAGCGGCGGCCTCGCCGGGCAGCTCCGGGCCCTCGGCCTCAAGCTGCGGGAGGTGCCGGGAGATGGGTGAGCGCCGCGACGGGTGTCGCCAGCAATCCCGGGGATTCTCCCGACATCCAGCCCTGAAGGCTGAGGGCTTCCTCCTCCCCGGGCAATGTGAGCCCGTGTCCCCGCGGCCGAGGGCTTTCATTGATCACACGGGTGTGAGCCCGTGTGCCCGGGGCCGAGGGTTTTCATTGATCCCGGGGTGGGGAACCCGTGTCCCGAGGGCTTTCGCTGATCCCAGGGTGGGGAATCCCTGTCCAGGGGGCCGAGGGCTTTAATTGATCCCGGGGTGGGAGCCCGTGTCCACGGGGCCGAAAGTTTTCATTGATCCCGGGGTGGGGAGCCCGTGTCCCAGGGGCCGAGGGCTTTCATTGATCCCGGGGTGGGAGCCCGTGTCCCGAGGGCTTTCACTGATCCCGGGGTGGGAGCCCGTGTCCCAGGACCGAGGGCTTTCATTGATCCCGGGGTGGGGAACCCGTGTCCCAGGACCGAGGGCTTTCATTGATCCCGGGGTGGGGAACCCGTGTCCCAGGACCGAGGGCTTTCATTGATCCCGGGGTGAGGAACCCGTGTCCACGGGAACCGAGGGCTTTCCTCTCCCGGTTGAAGTGGGCCCTGCGCTCCGCAGGGATGAGGATTTCCCCGCTGTGCCCTCAGGGATCTCTGCTGTTCTCTGCGGTTCTTTCGGGCCGGACAGCTCGGCCAGTCCCAGCCCTGGTGCCCAGGGGGCCGGGGGCTCCAGTGTCCAGCGGAACTGAGCATAGGAAGGGCCATAAATATTCTTAGGGAATCCTTTCACCCCTTTTTTTCTAGAAGGTGAAAAGGTAGCAAGCGTTCCTGCTGAGAAGTTGCTCAGTGGGGCATTTGTTTGTCCTTCGTTGCTTTATGTCCCTTGTCCGGTGTCAGTGTGGGACAGTTTTACCATGACACGATCACTCAGACCCAGCCATTCAAGGCACAGGGAATGAGCAGGAAATTCAAAGCACAGGGAGCGAGCGCTCCTCCGCATTCACAGCCTCGCTAAACCGGGCAGAATGAGCACAGCCCCTTTCCCTGTGACCTGTATTCCTTCTGCTGCCCCAGACACGGCCACTCCTCATTCCCTCCCTGCAGGAACTGCTTGTTCCGGGCGCTGGGGGATCAGCTGGAGGGGCACTCCCGGAACCACCTGCGCCACCGCCAGGAGACCGTGCAGTTCATGGTGCGGCAGCGCGCCGACTTCGAGCCCTTCGTGGAGGACGATGTGCCCTTTGACAAGCATGGTATGGGCTCCGTGGGATGGCCTGGGAGGCATCCGTGTGTCATGCAGCTCCTTACTAAGCAGTTCCTCATCCCAGAGCTACCTTAGGGCTCCTCTCTAGTTTTCAGAAACAGGGACTTCATGTTTATGGCTCTTGTGGTGTTGTGGGAGGATGAGCTGTTTAATCTTCATTGAATTTGTCCTGGACGTTATTTAAATTTGGGAGAAACTTGGAGAAGGAAAGAGACACCAAAAAGGCAAGGAGTAAAAATTAGGTGTTTTCAAAGGAATTTAAGAAGAATTGTCTCGTTCTCCCTGAATACTGGTGGGTATTTGGCTGTTTTGGTGAGTGGCTGATTTCTTTGGGGTTCTTTCTCCTTGGCACTCAATATTTCCTCCTGGGGAGCGAAGGGAGGATCCAAACCAGAGACAAATACAGCCCTTGATGTGTCAGGTACCATGCAGATGATGCACAAAGGTAATTTGGTCATGCAGTACATGGCACTCCTCCTTCTGAGCTACCAGAGCCAGTGGCCTTGCTTTGTCTAAGGGTGGAGTGCCTTTTTTAGAGATTTCTGTGGTCCTTTAAATGCACTACCTCATGCTGCAGCCAAATTCTTGTTTCACAGGTGGGATTTCCCTTCCAGAATTTCTTGGGCTCATGTTGAAATCTCACCCCTCATTATCCCTCCACTGCTTTTGGAAGTATCAGAAATTAGGTTCCAACTCTTGTGAATGTTTTCTCCTTTAGTTGCCAATTTGGCCAAGCCTGGTACTTTTGCTGGCAATGATGCTATCGTGGCCTTTGCAAGGAACAATCAAATGAATGTGGTTATTCATCAGCTCAACACTCCACTGTGGCAGGTGAGACACAAAGCTTCTACATTTTTGCCTAATTTTTACCTGAGGTATATAAATACTGTGGAAAATTCCTGATTTATTAAAAAAGAGCATTAGCTGCAATGATCTGGGCATGGTGCAGAGCTGTGCTTGGTTTTTGAAGAGAGGAAACACTTGAGATTTTGGCTAGGAGGAGAGGGAAAGAAAGAAGACAGTGAATGCCTGAGAGATGGGTATGTGGGGGCAGAACAATGTGTTTTACTTGGGTTTTAGGCTATGACCTTCAGTGCCATGCTCTGTCTCCTGAAGGTCAGATTCCATTTGAGTTGTTTTCTGATAAGAATCCCAGAATGGGTCAGGTTGGAGGGGACCACACTGAATCTCTGGTCCTGTCTCCCAGCCCCAGCTTCCTCAGCCTTTCCTGGGCAGAGAGATGCTCCAGGCCCTTCCTCATCTCTGCAGCCTCCACTGGCCCTGCCCCAGGAGCCCAGGGCTGGACACAGCACTCAGCTGTGCCCCCCAGGGCTGGGCAGAGGGACAGGGTCACTCCCTGACCTGCTGCCAGTGCTCCTCCCAGTGCACCCCAGGGCCCCCAGGACACTCTGCTGGCTCCAGGACAGCTCATTGACCACCCCAGGTCCTCCCTGCAGAGATGCTCCAGCAGCTCACCCCTGCCTCTGCTGGTACTTGGGGCTGTTCCTCCCCAGGGGCAGGACCTGCGTTGCCCTTGTTGAACTTCAGGTGGTTCTTCCCTGCCCATCTCCAACCTGGTGAGTCCTTCTGAAGGGCATTGCCCAGGTGGTTCTTCCCTGCCCATCTCCAACCTGGTGAGTCCTTCTGAAGGGCAGCAAACCCTGGAGTTTGAGCTAGGCTTAAGGAAGCCTGTGCAATAAGACTCAGGAAGGTGGAAATGAAGGTATAGCAGGGCATGCACTGTGTTGGAGTGAAGCTCCATCAATTCTGCGTGGGATGTGGAATGCCAAGGTTTCTGACAGATAGAGAAATGAGGTTTTAAAATAATTTTTAAAACCTTAAAGTGGTGTTTAATCAACTCATGGAAAGAACTGTGTGGTGTGTTTCCTCTGACAGGGACACTGAAACAAGTAATCCATCAGGTCCCTCGTTTTCTCTTTGTTGTTGTTTTTCCATGGCAGGTGGAATGGGTCCATGCTCAGTCAGCCTGGTCTGCAAATGAGAACCTGTATTCAAGCCAGGATTGTTTCTGGCCTCTATTTACAGACAGAACCAATGAAGTGTATAGGTTAAACAGGGCAATAAAGATAAAAAACCAGATGAAAGCTGTCAGTAACATCTTAACTGCATTTAAAACAGCCTCACGTGGATTCCTGAAATGAAACAAGTTTTAAACTCTCATTTATGGGTAGCCATGGGCAGAGGGACAGGTGGGTGAAGTACCTGCAGGGGAGGTCACAGGGGTGGTTTTCATGTGTTGTTCCTCAGTGTTATCACTTACTGCAGTTTTGTTGTCCTTGATTCTTTCATCTCCTCTCAGTGCCCATGTCAGGGTGTCAGTACAGAGTTTGTGATGAGGTTCTGTCCTGCCTGAGCAGTGCTGTTAGTGAAGGGTTGTCTCAGGCCCTTGAGAATGGTGTGAGTTAGGAGAACTGTGAGTAGTTGTACCATCATGAAAAGCTCTTTGCAGGTGGACATCTCTGTATGGAATTGTTTGGTCTTTGAACACCCCTTAACTTTTTTGATAGTGACTGTAAGTTATAGAATTGTTAAAGTTGGAAAAGACCTTTAAAATCATGGAGTTCAACTGTAGACTCAAGTTAGCTGAGATTTGTAGGTTATTTATTTATTTATTGGCTTTTTGGATAACAGGCTTGGTTTTTTCCCCTCTGTTTTTAATCTGCAGCTCTAATTTATGTACCAGTTTTAGTGTGTTCATAGAATGAGAGGATCCTGGGTTGGTTTGGGTTGGGAGGGACCTTAAAGCTCATTCAGTGCCACCCCTGCCATGGGCAGGAACATCTTCCACTGTCCCAGGCTGCTCCAGGCCCTGTCCAGCCTGGACTTGGGCACTACCAGGGTTAGGGTTTGGGGTTAGGGATCCCTGCCAGGGATCCAGGGGCAGCCACAGCTGCTCTGGGCACCTGTGCCAGGGCCTGCCCACCCTCACAGGGAGGAATTCCTTCCCAATACCCCATCTAATCCTGCCCTCTGGCAGTGGAAGCCATTCCTCCTTGTCCTGACACTCCAGGCCCTTGCCCACAGTCTCTCTCCATCTTTCCTGTCAGCTTCTTCAGGCACTGGAAGGTCACACTTAGGTCACCCTGGAGCCTTCTCTTCTCCAAGCTGGACAATCCCAATTCTCCCAGCCTTTCCTCATAGGAGAGCTGCTCCATCCCTCTAAATCAATATGGTGGCCTCTTCTGGGCCCACTCCAGAGTGGAAAGAGGCTTCCCTAATGAGAGCTAAATTGGCTCATTTTCAAATCTTTCAAGAGCTTTGGGAGTTGTTAGATACCTATTCAAGCTCTGGCAGAGGAGAAATGTTTAAAATAAATCTTAGCAAGTTTCTGCAGTGGAATAATTTAATAGAATAGAAAGCAGG